ACCCAATGTATTATATTAAAAGTAATCGGTGATTGCAAGCGGAGCTGATCCGGAACATTTCGTGCAGTAGTTGGTAATACCCTGTATTACAGGAGATGCCCTGTACTACCAATTGTTATTACCATTATTCATCTGAACATGGGATGTTTACAAATTCATGATGACGGCCGTTGGCGAATGAAGAAACTTGACCTTTACTAGGGAAAGATTACATCGATTCTCTCGGCTGCCACACCGAAAGGAACGAGTAAGGGCTACTCTCATTTGACTCTACCTACTCTTAAAAACACCGAGATCAGAATATCCTGGTCCACTCATAACTCGTCTTCTGGTTACGGTTTGTTATCCGCACAGCCTCCCTGCTCCTTTTCCATGTTCACTCCGCCAAACAGCTACCTTCTGGTGTTTGTATTAGAAAACGTCTACCCTCGCAAATCATTACACACTATCAATCCAATGAAAGAATGATAACGAGAATCAACGCTATGGTGCAGTAGGTATAACCAAAAAACACTAACTGGTAGGTCTCCAGAAGAAGATCGCTCCTGGAATGGCTCCTCAGCGCACATTCATCATTTCCAATATGTAATCCGCGGAAGATACAACTGCTGCAACTACAGTTGGCACTTTCTGACTCCATGCTCCTAGTGCTGTGTATTTGCTCTCCCAGGTAGGCCACCAAGTACAGTAAGTCATGGATTTCCGAGGGTAAGTCAAACTTTAACTTATCTCAAGTGTTGTAAGAGATGTCCAATCCATTTTATCAAAATCTTCCAGGACTAGATAGTGAAACCGAGTCCCTTTCTTTTCATTACATTTCATTAGACAACTTTGAGCAGCAGCTTTGGCCTTTTCATTAGAAAACGAAGGAAATGGCAGCTGGCTTAATGATGTCGTCATTGGAATGCCTTATGAGCTTGAGCTGTCACTCATACAAAACACTAGTACATCAAAAGTCAAGATGATTAGAAAATATCATTGTCATCTACAACGTATTCACCTTAAAACATACAGAATTTGGTCTTTACAGTAATGAACATGAATGCAGTATACTAAGTACGAATGAGGGTATTTTCAACAATTTCGACTACACGACTATCTAGAGATCCTGGCTGAGGGTTTTGGAGAGGTTATATCCTTGTAACTCGATTAGCAAGTCGACCCTTGGGCCTATCCCATGGTTGTGGTGTCGGAGAGCTTGGTTTTCTTTTCCAGACGTCGTCTTCTTCGTCATCTTCTTCATCGTCCTCATCGTCGCGTATCGTTAACCGACTTGCAATACGTCTACGCTTCCTGGAAGAAGGGGTGGAATTCCCGTATCGAACAGATTTATGCTTATTGGAAATATGCTTACGAAAAATAATTTCAGCACTCAACGTTCATCTACTAGACCCATAGCGGTATCCCATGGGGGCTATGGGTGTTATCGCGCAGGTACAGATGAAAGCTCAACACTACCAGCAATTTTCAGATAGTGGCTCAGGAGAGTGAGATCTAGATACAGATATTAAGAGAACTCCTAACTTCCCCGGGTCGCGCTTGTGGTTAAAACCAACCCTCCTCTGAGATATTTTGGGAATTCACTCGAAAGGATCATTAACTACTTGTTACCACAAGTTCTATTTCTAGGCACTCAATATAATAGCGTCTAAAACACGGCGAACTTTTCAGTTGATCTTTTTTGCTTACTTCAGTTGATGTTTTTTGTTTACATATTAAATTCCCACTAACAACTTACTCCAACTTTTTAACTTTCCCATACTTTCGATCGAACAACTCCTTACAGCTTGAGAATAGGTTAACTTCATAGCTGAACTGCGCTGTCTAATCTGATCAACTTCGCGACATCCAAATGAAATAGACAGGCTGTAAAACTCACATAGAAGTCTCATCTATATCATCTGAGGCAAGCGTATGACCCTCACCATTAAAGAGAAATGATCCCTTCTTGGCTCCTCGCCCCTGAAACCGACAAAGTGTCAACCAACATGACTAAAAAAGGTGTTTTTCAAATAAGCTATTTTTAGAGTGAGTGGGAAGACAAGTACGACTAGTTCCCTTGGAGATGTGCCAATGACACTTTCGCTTGACTAGTTCAGCACCTGAAAACTAGTACAGCGCCTGAGCCACAAACAACATTGGTAACTAGAACCGTACGGTCTTCACTTTGAGAGCTATTGGAGCTATGCGCCGCAGAGATGAGTACAGGGGAAAGGAGATTTTCAGGTTTCTGCAATCAAAAGTCAGATTTTTTTCAGAGATAAAACATAGCCCAAGAAATGACAGTAAACAAAAAAAAAACAAGTAAATTTAGGAATCATGGGTGTGAACTCATGAGTAACTTCCCTTATACCTGGGAATTCTGGTGCTCGGACCTTATAGGTGTTGAATACCACCCGAGGGAGAAGGCTGAGTGGCAGGAGTCACCGTTATCGCACCCGCAGACTGCGTCAGAACCCTGTTGAGCTAAAAAACTCTGCTATCCCACAAGTTTGCCTAATTAGCATCCAACATCGATCAAAGTCATGCTTGGTAACCTTACCTAACGTATCTGAGGCCGAACGTATCTGAATTTTTTTTACTCCTATGAGTCTTCAAGCTCTGGCTCTTCTTTTTCAAAAATTGCAATAAGTTGAAACACAATAATGTTAATAATTCTAATGGCAGCAAGTATTTACTCACTCTAACAACTTTGGCCTGAGGAGCTCCTGATTCAACCTCGGTCGACTTAACCTCATCTTTCTGGGGACTGACGTTAGGATCATCGAAGAACCTGGAACAAAAATCACTGTGTGATCGTATCTTGGTAGTATCAAGCTCTCAAATTTGATCAGATTGAAAATTAACCGGTTAACATAATAAGGCCGGATGTGGTCTAGCGACAAGTGGCGCAAGCGTGGTTTGGGTATCGAATTCCCGATCCATGCTTGCTGAATCAAACCAAGCCCTCCATCCCGAAGTATGTTAGTCGATACTAGGCTGGTCTGGGAGCACAAAAGCCCTGACTTCAGCATCGGCTGGCCACCGCAAGACATGTACGGCCATATGAACATTCAAGAAGCCACTCCAACTCTGACTCCAATTCGAAGAGAAGAGGGCATCCCAGAAATGATTGATTGAAGCCATAGACGTAAGAAAACTTTAGCCCAAATAAATTCTGTCATTTCATGGGAATCGGAGTATTCAAAAACTCTACCAATTGACGGAAAATGATTTGTATGAACGAAGAACTTCCCGAGCGTTTTATTCTTACTTTGAAATCGATTTCTGCTCGAACTAAGAGGAATGGAACCTTCTCATATTGAATTGTACATTCCCTAAGGCATTTCAAAAAACATCACTAATTAAAGTGAATACGATGAATAAATCAAGAATACCCACGATGGAGATGTGCATGGGATACTAATGAAACGATCTCGCTAGAAAAAAAAAGAATGGAAACATTTGGGGGGAGAGCTTTATATCAGGCAGGCTTGCCAAACGAAAATGAGGTTTCTCGGGAATGCCATTTCTTCAGATGTCTAAAATCATAAAAACAAAACTATCACGATTGTATTGCTTGGTGACATAATACATGAATGGATCCAATGAATGGGTTTCGGACTTAATGGCAGCATTTACGATTACGGTAATTGCTTGTATCCTTCCTGTATATGGTGCCCGTGGTAAAAAGAAAAACATGGACACCGAAAAAGAATGATAGAGAATTCCGAGACGGACAAAAGGAAGCGGTCTTCTGAAGCAATGTAGGAATAGGTTTCCTGGAGCTCACCCTCCAAGTACCCATCCAATAATCACTACAAGCGTATTCAAGAGGATTTGACAATGGCAAGGTAGGACAAAGGACCAGCGGGTGTATACCAGGCGACTTTTTACCACACAAGCGCTTATTGCGAAATGTAAGCTAAAAGGACATCCCACTTAGGAAATTTTTGGCCCCACTCGCGTAAACAACATCAGGAGGACATTGTAGTCGACACCATTTCTCAGCTTACCTCGTGTCATGTTCATAGTCCCATTCGAGTTCGTTACCTTTCTCATCAAACACATTCAGACCAGGTCGAACTTTTTGTTCCGTTGACCACGAATATGTAAAACCTGGGTGATAAACAGAGTTACTCAACTGAAAATACGTCAGAAACCTATTACTTAACGGTATTCAGCGAATATAATAATTCATCCCATTACCCTGGTCATCCATCTCCTTTTTTCGTTTCCTACTGACGTCATCTTCGCTATTGTTAGCAAGGGCTTTTCTTGCTTCCTAAATAGGAAACGAGATCATTGAAAGGGAAACTAATTATATGGAAATTTCTGAAGAGTAATTCAGCCAGGACAATTTCCAACCGCAATTTCCGTATTCGTTGCGAATCTGGCAATCATGAAGCGACGTTCTGGGACATGCTCTGTGACGACACGCCATCGACCTAGGTATCATATAAATTTCAGCAAAGATTCTCCTTTCTGGGTCAATCCAAATCAGTGGACTTGATAAAGCCTTATGATCAGAAAGATTTTTTGCTTTATAATAAGCTGAAGGTATTTCACGGAGTACTCGAGCAGAAATTCTTCCTATTTTTAATGATATGGAAGATAGGAAAAGGCACATCGTATCCAAAAAGACTTACCATCGGGTATGTCGATAGCATCCACATCCACTTCGACGACATCATCTCGGACTCTCTTCGGTTTGCCTCCTGAAAGCAACCCTTCAGAAAAAAGACAACCATTCGAAACGTAACTGGTACTCAGATTTCACAAAAGAAAATTCGTCTCTTCAGACAAGAACCAGATGAAAACGGTAAGTTGAAAACCCTCTGAAGTCTTCTTGACCCGCAACCACTGCAGAGGTCAGTCCTTACGAGTTTCTGCGGTAGTGGAAGGTGGTCGAACATATGAGCTACCCCAAATGAAATGAATACAAGGCCTCCTTGATACTCCCACAGAATGAATTCGAGACCCCTCCTGATACCATATGTGCTGATGTCGAGAAACGTCCAGGATAGGGCACAATAAGAGGCCAGACATTGTATCATGTGAATGCCACACCCACAGCGGACGAGTCATGACGGTGTTGTAGAGGCTAAACTATCCCAAGGGACTCTCATGTCGGAAGTTTAAATAATTGTCATGACCCATGCGACAGTGGAAGGGAGCTTTAGACAATTTGGACTTGATGCAGTCCGCTTTTTGCGAAGTTGTGACAAATGAAATCTCGTCCGAATACCCCTTCCATGCCATTTCCGCCATGGCAATCTCGTACAGCCTCCATTTCCACTTTGGAATCCTTATTTTTCGCGAAGAAGGCGGATTCTCTCGCTTTTTTCGCCACCAATGCACTACTCTACATTAACAATACTTTTTTTCAACTTAGAATGGGCACCTCAACATTATCGTGAACTGCTTCTTTAAGCGAACAGCACCCCATCGTCCGCTTACTCCAACCTCATCACCTCTAAACTGTATTTGATCAGAAACCTCATTCACCGACTCCCATTGGTTTACCCTGTCCATTAGATGTTTGATAATGCGCTCTGCCTACCAAATAGGTGCCAGCGGAATATTTGTATATGCAAAAAGGTTTATACAGCCTGCGAGCCATAAATCAGCACCCATCAAGCCAAACACACACAC